AAATCTCTACTTGTCTGAGTTATTTTAAAATGGAATCTTTAGTTCTGTATCTTTACAGTAGCCAGAAAAATACTCAGAAGAGACTGTCATAGTAAAAGCAAATCAAATGCCTCAAAGTGGTACTGCAGGCCTTCGTGCCCGCCTTTCCTCTTCCACAGAGAGGCCAGTCATCACCTTTCTATTTTGGTCACACTATGGTTCTGTAGGAACTGTCTTTTTCCTTTACTGCGGTTTCTGAGGTGCTAAAATAACCTCATTAGCTTCACTCAAGTTCATTGTTAACACAAATAGGACAAAGTAGGCGGCCACGCACAGCGAACTTTAACATTATCAGTCCTGCTCTATTTAAGTTCCGAACAAAATATTCAAATGGAAGTTAGGAAAAAGTCCCTGGTTTTTCATATTATAGGATAATGTGCAAATAATACTGTGGATAAGTTTTAATTTTCTGGGAATGAATTAAAACAACTGATAATGCTGAACTTAGTTCAGGCTGGAGTGGCCACTCATCCAGGTGGCCACTAGCAGAAGCTTGAGTAAAGTAGAAAATATGTCTGCGCAGCTGCTGGCAAAGAAGTGCAGTTCTCCTTCCTCAACAACAGTGACAGAGTTCCTGTGAAGGGATGTGATGCTGACTGACTTAAGGCAACACAGTCCCTGGTATAAGTCCAACCCCGATACTCGTTGGCAGTATACCACTCTGGGACTGCCCAGTTAGGGCTCATAAAAATAGAATAATTCCACTGGGGTCAGAGGCTCGTCTTTCCTGTCTGAAGGACTGCAACTAAGGAATAACAAACCGTGCCAAAGGATACAATAGGTCACCAATGACTCCAGAGAGCAAGGTAGGCTGGCACTGGCCCCTTTGCTAGCTCAAGGCTGAGGCTGTCTCATTATCTTAGTTTCTCAAGATACCTTTGCTTCAAATTCCAGCAATCACAGACTAACATCATTTCAACAGTGTTTCATTATGTGCCTTACAAGGAAGACTATAAACATTTTTCCCTGGGGAGCTTCTGAATAGCTGGTCAACCTAAGACTGGAATTCTAGCTTTGGAAGAGGCTTTCTATAAAGTGCCAGATAGGTATTTAGTCTTTATGTGACATTTACAGTCTCTTTGGAACCAAACAGCCCCAAAGCAACCACAGACAGTATGTCAACAAATGAGAACACCTGTGTTCTAATAAAACTTTATTTATAAAAGCATGCTATAGGCTAGGGAGATGGTTCAGTGGATAAAGTGCCTATGTAAGAGTTCAACTCCTCAGATCCTTAGAAAGCACATAAAAGGTGTGGCAGTGGGTTGATCCCAACATCAGAGAGGTGGAGAATGGAGATCCCTGGGGCAAATTTACTAGCTAGACTGGCCAGAATCTGCAAGTTCTAACTTCAACAAGAGACCTTGCTTCTATAAATAAAGTGGAGAGATACTGGGGAAGACACACATATCAACTTCAGACCTACATAAACATGTGAAAACACACACACACACACACACACACACACATACCACACACACACACAC